TTGATCATAAAGTTTCGTACGGTAGACCGCGTATATAATCTCTCATATTTCATATATATTTCATTTGTATTTCAATGTTGTTGTTATCAGTTCTGATATTTCAAACAAAACTGAACACGAGTTTGATTATATTGATAGCTTTTATAGAGAACACCTTAATAAATGTATATTAATGCACATTGTATGATTTGTTTGTCCGCGAACTCCTCCAATAGTTTTAGAGTTAGTAGGACCAAACTTGGCAGGCGCACTTGGGGTGGCCAGAGAAATAACGTTATCTATATGGCGTGGTACCACTACTAAGGGAGCTAAAACCCGATAGAGAGATCGCTCAGGCATGATAAGTGTTTAGAAGTAGGTATTCAGGATCTCTGAAACCGAATCTAGCATCCAATTTTGTGTTCATGTGTTTTCTCGGGACACCGGTGGCATCATGTTTGAAACTGTGTTCATACCCCTTATTCTCAAGCTAGTTACGTTATGTTGGATGCGGAAGGAACCACGGCCCAATGTTCCAGAAACCATGAGAAACCAAAATGTTGCAACGCAACGAGCCACATACTACAAACTACAAAGGTTGTGCTAATTAAAACTAGAATTTACGTAATCAGAAATAATACAAATACTCAAGCTACGCAATTAACAACACAAGCTCAAACAAACACAACACAAGCTCAAACAAATACAACGCAAGCTCAAACAAACACAACACAAGCTCAAACAAATGCATCACAGGCTGAAACAAATACAACGCAAGCTCAAACAAATACAACACAAGCTCAAACAAATGCATCACAGGCTGAAACAAATACAACGCAAGCTCAAACAAATGCATCACAGGCTGAAACAAATACAACGCAAGCCAAACAAATACAACACAAGCTCAAACAATACAACCAAGCTGAAACAAATACAACACAAGCTCAAACAAATACAACACAAGCTCAAACAAATGCATCACAGGCTGAAACAAATACAACGCAAGCTCAAACAAACACAACACAAGCTCAAACAAATACAACACAAGCCAAAACAAATACAACACAAGCTCAAACAAATACATCACAGGCTGAAACAAATACAACGCAAGCTCAAACAAACACAACACAAGCTCAAACAAATACAACACAAGCCAAAACAAATACAACACAAGCTAAACAAGTACATCACAGGCTGAAACAAATACAACACAACCCAAAACAAATACAAAACAGTCACAAAATAAAGCTCATCTACTGCCAACACGCGTTGTAACCAAAGCCACGCAAAACACATACATACATGCTATGTAACCTCGTACTTACAATTTACGAGAAATGAAAAGACCAACGAAACAAATAAAAAGCAACCAGTGGAAAATATTTTAAATACTAACGTAGATGCACAGAACAATTCCAGCAGCAATGGAAAGCATACTCAACTAGCATCAACGATCACAAACATACTGACAGATTTCCTTGGTGAAATAAGGAACCCAAACACATCTTATGCCATATCTATTATAATAAAACTAATCAAGAAACACATCATACACGTGATACCACATATTATATCCAAATTAATGGATAGCACAGCAACAGCATGAATGAATGAGCAGTTATCCATATCAAAGTTCAGGTAATGATGTTAAAGAGCCACCTAGTGCTAGGTCAACGGAATTTTCCGTTGTATATTTAGTTTTATTTTAATAGGGTTGCTTTTTATGCATAAAATGAAATTATATAAGTCTAAAATCTCTACATGGATTGTAGAGTGATCACAGTATTTTATATGTAAACACACGTCTAGCGAGTGTATGTGAAACTCAACATGTTAATGGTAAATCATAAATTGGACATGGGTTGAAAATGGTTTTTGTTGAAATTCTATTTTGTGGATGGTATACAAATAAAAATATACAATCGTGAGTAAACTGCCATTTGTGGTAAACATTACCAGAAAAATCCGTGTAAAAATACTAACTGAACTCTATTGAATTGAGTAGAGCTATTCACCGATCTCTGTGTTTTACTTAAACATCAGTAGAAGTATCAATATCCGACTTCAAGACCATAAATCAACTGTTTGGAGGGAGAAAGAGGTCCACTGGCTCCTGAATAGTTCCAAATGTAGGACCTAAAATCCGACCCAGACCTCACGGTTTTCAAGCTAGCGAGACCACATACTCAGGCACAACGGGCGGGTTTGTTTTCTGGTATAGGACCCCCTCTCCAAATTTGGGTAGCTTTAGAAGTAATTGTGTATAGTAGAGGAATTTGATTGGGCCTTTCTGAACTATAACAGGACTTTGAAACTCGCAGGTATTGTATACTAGTGTAGCTAATTTGTCTGTTATTTGTGAAATGTTGCTATCCTCTTATATGATACTTACTGTAAGGAATAGCGTGCACATAGTAGAATAGTTCATAATCATAGTAGTCTAGCTCATAATCATAGTAAAATAGTTCATAATCATAGTAGACTAGCTCATAATAATAGTAGAATAGTTCATAATCATAGTAGAATAGTTCATAATCATGGTAAAATAGCTCATAATCATATAAGAATACTTCATAACCATATTAGAATAGCTCATAAACATAATAGAATAGCTCATATCCATATTAGAATAGCTCATAAACATAGTATAATAGCTCATAAACATAGTAGAATAGCTCATAATCATAGTAGAATAGCTCATAAACATGGTATAATAGCTCATAATCATAGTAGACTAGCTCATAATCATAGTAGACTAATTCATAACTATATTAGAATAGTTCATAATCATAGTAGACTAATTCATAACTATAATAGAATAGTTCATAATCATAGTAGAATAGCTCATAAACATGGTATAATAGCTTATAATCATAGTAGACTAGCTCATAATCATAGTAGACTAATTCATAACTATATTAAAATAGTTCATAATCATAATAGAATTGCCCATAACCATATTAGAATAGCTCATAATCATATTAGAATAGTTCATAATCATATTAGAATAGCTCATAATCATATTAGAATAGCTGATAATGGTTATGAACTATTCTAATATGATTATCAGCTATTCTAATATGATTATGAGCTATTCTAATATGATTATCAGCTATTCTAATATGATTATGAGCTATTCTAATATGATTATGAGCTATTCTAATATGATTATGAACTATTCTAATATGATTATCAGCTTTTATAATATGATTATCAGCTATTCTAATATGATTATGAGCTATTCTAATATGGTTATGAACTATTCTAATATGGTTATGAACTATTCTAATATGATTATGAGCTATTCTAATATGATTATGAGCTATTCTAATATGATTATGAACTATTCTAATATGATTATCAGCTATTCTAATATGATTATGAGCTATTCTAATATGATTATGAGCTATTCTAATATGGTTATGAACTATTCTAATATGGTTATGAACTATTCTAATATGGTTATGAACTATTCTACTATGATTGTGAACTATTCTAATATGATTATGAACTATTCTAATATGATTATGAGCTATTCTAATATGATTATGAACTATTCTAATATGATATTAGAATAGCTCATAATCATATTAGAATAGTTCATAATCATATTAGAATAGTTCATAATCATAGTAGAATAGTTCATAACCATACTGGAATGGTTCATAATCATTTTAACATAGTAGAACAGTTTAGTCGATGACATAACGAAATTCAACAACTAGGTCGCTGGTTTCTTATATTTCAAGTTTCATTTTGAGTAACAGCAGAGTAGCACTTCGACAGTGCTGATAGATGCCCTTCAGTTCCAACTAGAATTTATGATATCTTCAGGATGACAGCTATTGATAAGCGTACTTTCAAATTCTTATTATGGGTAGTAACAACAGCTGAGGGGCGAGAACCGAGACTGCAAGAGTGGTTCTCAGTTGCTACTCAAGATGACTCCGTAACGGTGAGAATCAATGAATGAATCACACTACCTTTTTCCAAAAAAAAGTGGTTCGTGTTATTTAAGTAATTGATATCAATAAAACAGCATTATTTTTTAAAGACGAGATATGGTGTATCTTCCTTTGATTCCTTGATTTATTCCCTTCTTATTTAATACAATCTCACACACACAACCGTCTAAAGTCCAATAGCACTGTACAGTCTGTCTTTCAGTTTCATCTCTCGTGGAGCAAAAAGTCATTACCAGTGGGTCATTTAGAGTATAAGAACGTATTCAAAGAACTTAGATCAAAATAAAAACTAACCGTAAAATTTATTGATTTTAGGTTATCCTTTGGAGATTTAGCCGTTCCGGTATATGGAGGTCGATCCTGTAGCGGCGACTATTGATTGGTGGCTTATCGCTGTGTATAGCATGAGTTACCCAAAACAAAGAGCGAAGGGCAATATATTACGACGTGCTACGTGTGTATTACTTACTGAACATGCCGAATCATGTGTTTAACTACGTGTGTATTACTTACTGAACATGCCGAATCATGTGTTTAACGTAACGTACTTCTTTCCTTTTTTTTTTTCTCTGTAATGTCTGTATAAGTTTTCAAAGTTAATCTTCGTTTGGGTCTACAACGTGATTATTATTTAAGCTTTGATCACAAATCAGCAAGTAAAGCTTACTGATTATTAACATAAAACATACGAATTATTTCTCTTCTTTCTTGTTTAACTTGAATATTATACATACATATACATAGATGTATATATACACACACACATATACATATAGTTTGGCAGTAAAAAAAAAATGGATGGCGTCGTTGGTGCTGGTGTTTTTTTTTATTACTATTAATAAAAGTTTTTATATATATATATATATAACTCAACCAAACCCCACTGCTTTCCTAGTATCCAGAACCAGGTTTTGTCAACGCGTCGTATATAGGTAGGTATAAACTGTGTTTCTGTCATTGGCTCGATCGATGTTCCAAGTCATGCGCATGCGCAGATGCGAATCCTGCTAAACACAAGAAGCTGGGGCACGGGTTCAGGAGAAGCGGTGTGTCGTTTGCAAGGTCGTGGTGGATAGCGGGGAGAGTTATAGATGTGTAATTGTTAACGTTGGTTAATCCAGCCCTTCTTAATATCTAAATTGTGAAACATCCATTTTGCCGTTTTGTTCTACCTATACCCTGAAAGAACTGTGTGAACATAAATGTTGAGGTGGGTAATACTAATATAAATATTCAACGAGCGCACTACGAACGCCTTTCATAAGTAGCAGAGCCAGCGGAATCTTTAATAAGAATAATGGTTTTATTAGTGCGCTCTTCAATTAGATACTCCTTTCTCGTGTTTCTTGTTTTTTTTTTTTTTCTTCAACATTTAAACGATGTTCTATAACTAATCACACTATATTTATGTTCTTACCAAATTATATATTGACGAACGTGTGCACTTTAGAGAGTTAAAAACGAAGGTTTCGGACTACGCATGGTCACTCTTGTTTTATTAGTAGATACTAATTATATATATATATATATATACAGATGGACAGATAGGCTGATTGATTGACAGATAAATACAGTAATTTTTATTACTCGGTTTATTGTTAAATGGTGGAGATATAACATGATCAAGTTATTTTACATCGGTAATGCAAAATCATTGAGGAGGATCGAACCTTGTATCAGTATGTTTATGCAAAAGAGTTCGTTAATTGTAAGAAAATTATGCTTTCCATCTTTCTTTTATGGTCTTTCCTCTACACTCATCCGTTAGCGCATATATTATTTTCATTGCTCAGTTATAGAATTTTGGAATTCCTTTCAATCAATCCAACAAAAATTTCACGCACAGGTAAGGCTAGTAACACTATAGGTGGGTAAATGTTACAAGACTTCCATTTGGGGGTTATTCAGTGGGATCGAAGAAGGAATATTTTTGAAAAGACTGAGTATAATTTTATATAAAAGTTTTTTTTTTCTGACAGCTAACGTCGAAAAAGAAATAACCTTCATAGAAAAAGGACGGGTATCGTATTGCTACGTGCTATCCTTAAGTTTAACAGTCAGTAAATGTGGGGAAAATGATTAAATTTGATACCGGTAACTACAAATTCAGCAGGCAGTTAATTGCAAAAAAGAACAATCTTCATAGAAAAGCCCAATTATCAAGACCGAACAATTAGATATAGGAATAAAGGGATGACTTTAAAAAGGAACAAAGGTTATGATATCACACAGTGTAAGAAGAAAGAACTTTGATATGGGTATAATGCCGACGAAACCTATACTACCACGCAGTAAGTACAAAATAACGCACAGTTAAAGTTGGAGAAGAAATAACCTTGTTAGGAACAGGCCGAATACAGCACTGAAACAAGCAGTAACAGCAAAATAACCTTGATAGGAATAGACCAAATATATCATTTAAACACGCAGTAACAGCAAAATAACCTTGATGGGAATAGACCAAATATATCATTTAAACACACAGTAATAGCAAAATAACCTTGATGGGAATAGACCAAATATATCATTTAAACACACAGTAATAGCAAAATAACCTTGATGGGAATAGACCAAATATATCATTTAAACACACAGTAATAGCAAAATAACCTTGATGGGAATAGACCAAATATATCATTTAAACACACAGTAATAGCAAAATTATCAGTCAGTCAGTCATTTGGAAATTACCTTGAAAAGAAAGGGATGAATTTTATATTAAAACACATTCATTTCAAGTTAAGCGAAGGGCCGAAGCTCGTGGTAACATATATATATATATATATATCGCAAGCGCGATTTCAACTGTGAATAATCTTTTCAGCGAAATTTAGATAATCATATATGGATACATTTACTTCACTACAGATTTCAATACTGCAGAATTTATAACTGTTGATATAGTTTGATGAATTAGATTTTCTGTCGCTAGATATGACGGTATAATATAGTCTATTTCACTTGGCAACAATAAAGTCTATTACACTTGCCAACAATAAAGTCTATTTCACTTGGCAACAATAAAGTCTATTACACTTGCCAACAATAAAGTCTATTTCACTTGCCAACAATAAAGTCTATTTCACTTGGCAACAATAAAGTCTATTACACTTGGCAACAGCGTCGTATTGTATTTTGACTTTTTATTTTATTTCATGAACGGAGTATGACCTAACTAGACAACCGTGCAGCCACAATAAACACCATAGAAGGCTTTACTTAGTCTGTATCGTGTGCAGCTGATGTGGGTCAAGCTTATGCAATAAAGAACTGAATTTGATAGTGTTCTTCAAAATAACTTTTCAAAGTTTCAGATCGTATAAGAGAAACACTCTATCTCTAAACTTCCGCTGAAGCTCTCTCGCATCACACATTTTATATGGCCTATTCGCACATTTCCTTTCAATTAAATAATTCGATAGATAACTTGAAACAATAGAAATTTGAACTCATTTATACTGACCCAAATTACAATTTCGCGAGCGTGTGCATGCAAACCCGAAATTTAAACGCAGCAGCGTCAAAATAAAATAAATGCAATATTTTACTAAATCATTTTATGATATTTTATTTTCACGTTTATGCGTCATTCGTTAGCCCCTTTACATCAACTTCTGGTTTGTAATGAACTTGTAGCCAGAAGTTGTTGGTATTAACCATAATTAATATGGATATAGAGAAATATTACTAACAGGACAGTGACTAAAATCTTGAAATTTGTTAGTAACATTTCACTTTTTGCTGTATTTTCGTTTGTTTTTAAGATGGTGTTTTTTTTTATATAAAACTTCATGAAATTACTACGACAGTTATATAAGAGAATGTTTATATTGACATTAATTTCTGTCGTAAAATAACTCCTATTTCTTAATTTTAACTATATCGGTAATCGAATAAAGTTGTTTAAACATTTGTTTAACAACGAGTAAAAGCTTGGAATGGTCTATTCTTTCATTGGAGGGGGGGGGGGTGTCTGTGAGCTAGACTAGTTTCTGTGAATTCCACTCCTCATCAGTGACCCTGGACAC